ATCACCAACATGACCACATCTTTCCGGGACGGTCTGGCTTTCTGCACTCTAATTCACAAACACAGACCGGACTTGATGTAAGTAACAGCCCCCATACAGCGAACGAGAGCGCGGTTTAGTGCTGCATTGTGCTCAGAAAAGGACAGCGTATGAACTTTGGACGAAAATTTAAAATGCTCAACATTCAAACGTAGCGCTTGTTTACAGTTTATAGCTCGTTTCAGACATTAGAAAATTTAGAACTGTGGTTCAAAGCGAAAGAATCTTTTGAACTTAGGACGAGGACATTAGATCTTTCAGTAGGCTAATTCAGAACGTGTAGACTGTCGGATGGTATTACTAAAAGTTTCAATAGGCTACTTCGAAACATGATGAGAACATTCTAACTTGTAGAATTTAGAGTTAAGAAATGTACAACTTTAGAGTATGTATTCTTTCTCAATAATATATTAACTTTTAGAAATTCGAACTAGAAGTTGGAACTTTTAGAACTATAGACAAAACTATTAAAACCCATTTTAGATTTCAGGAAACAGATTTTTTATTTTTTTTTGCTTGAAATTCTCCAAATTACTCCAATAACACCATTACTCTAACATTCTAGTTGTTTCAAGTGAAGTTCTGGAACCTGAGTGTTGACATGACAGGCTGCATGCTTGTGTTTGTATTAGTGTCAGATTTATATTGTTAATATTTGACATGGGGAAAATACCTTTTCTGTTCACTCATGTATGCTTGTCTCAAATTGTTTGCTCTCTTGCAGAGACTTTGACTCTTTGAGCAAGGAAAATATCTATGAAAACAATAAACTGGTAAGATTGTTCACTTTATAAAATGGTCGCTAACTTTTATCACTTCTCTCTATTGTTGCCATTACCATAATGTTTTACATTTCATTTATCCATTTCGTTGTAAAAACAACTTAAATTTAATTCATTTTGAATACCTTTCTTTGGTATCTTCTGATATCATAACTGTCACAATGATAGTTAACAATAGACTTTAACTCATTATGACAGTTCTTGGAGGTTAAAAAGGCATTATAGGTTCTACAGAGTAGTATTTTGGTTTATGGGTGGTTTAAAGCATGTATACATACCTTTTTTCTAAAGATAAAGATAAAAAGTTATTTGTTTAATGTAAAAATGCTCCCCTAGGCCTTAGCATGTAAGTTTTTGGTCAGGACAGTAGAGCAAAACAACTGAATCTGCTTTAAGTTTTCTGGGAAATGCCTTCATTCCATAAAGATCACAATCCCGTCAAGTTTCCTAGACCTCTCATAGAGCTATTTGACCTATGTGTGGTTGACCAGGGTTAAGATGTGACACAGCCGCATACTCAAGGCCTATTTTTGTGGTTTCTTCTGTTTTTGCAACAGCTGGATCACATGTTGTGTTGTTGTAGGCCTTAATTAATCATCATCTGAGCACTGTTATGTTCCTGTTTCCACGCAAAAGGAATACTGAAAGGAATACTGTCCAAAAAGGGCATTGTTGTGAAAGAGAGAATACAAAAGCATATAATGAAAAGTACTGCAAAAGAAATGCTAATGGACAGCTTTGTGAGCATGTAGGATGGCACTCTCTTTCCAAACAGAGCTAGTGTGACAAAGACAGTGAAAATGAAAGTGGTAACTGTTAAGATAAGGTAACGCATGGTTTACAGGGTGGAGATTCAGTATCAGGTAAAAAGAGAAAGCTGGCACAGACTGAGAGTTCAACGTTTTATTTGTCAATTTATGCAGTGGTGCAAAGGCAATGAAATGTTTTGATCCCGGCCCACTCATTGCAATGCTCTGTTATGTGAGAAAATATGTCAGATACACTTTGTACAAAAAATAAGTCTTAACATTCTCAGTTATTATTAGCTAACAGTAACTTTGGCATGAACGTTTTTGTTATGATCTGTAGTGATTTCCAGTTTTTACATTTAGATTTGTGGTCTTTGAATCACATTACATGCTGTGTGAGATTTTTTTTAAATGAATCTTTACTGAGAAATACCTCCCCCTTTATTGCTCTTGATTTTATCTAGATTGTTTTCTCGTTCTCTCTCTCCTCGTTCATGTCTGCGCTTGTTTATTTTTGAGGGAAGCTTTTTTTCTCCCAAAGAAATCCAGGCCAAGTTGACATTTTTGTGTGTGTATAATGGGCATGGAGGAATTATAGTTTTACCACTCAGTGCCTCTAGATGGAAAATCACCACAAATTACAAACTTTTGCCCAACTTTTCATCATTGCAACATTGTGAATTATACATGAGCTGAAAGTTGATCTGCTGACATATTCACACTATTATGAGTAATAGTGACCAGACAAAGAAAATAAACTTCCTCAGTTTTAGTATATAATGTCAATCAATATTTTCTGTGTAAGAGCTAATACAATAAAAGCAGAAATATAGTTGTTTAATGTGTAAAAATCTCTTAAATTATTGTCCAGTTCCTTGTCTATTCCAAGTTAATGTATCAACAGCTTGTTTTACTCGAGTTCTTCCTCTTATGCAGCCTGTAGATATCAAACATATCTTAAAATCTGGAATGATTTTTGCAGTTCTAGCACTTGATAATAGGGGTATATACATTTTAACTCGTTCAATATGAAATCCTCTAATTCTTCTGCCCCACAGATGTTTCCCTCTTGTGTAATTCATACCCCTCGCATTATTTTCTTGTTATATTTATTAATTTATTTTTACCAGGCTTTCGAGGTGGCAGAGAAGGAGTTGGGTATACCTGCCTTGCTGGATGCCGAAGACATGGTGGCTTTAAAAGTGCCTGATCGCCTCAGCATCCTGACCTATGTGTCCCAGTACTACAATTATTTCCATGGACGCTCTCCTAGTAAGACATACCCCCCCCCTTCCACTGTCACCTCATAGCTGTTATCCACCCAATTTACAAAAGTTATGATTGTGTTCAGAAATACAGATATCCAGAGGCCATAAAACTTGATCTTGAGATACAAGCTATGTTCAAAAAAGTACAGTGTAAAAAAGGATAATATAAATAGTAGCATAATGTGAAACCGTAGGAGTTTTATAACCCTGCAAACAGTAGTAAACTACATTTTTGCAATTCCATTTAGTGCCTCTAGTGGTGCAGAAATTACACCCTTCACTTTTAAACTTAATTAGGACCATGTCATTTTTTTAGCATTGCTAAAAACATTTCACTTTATGGATGTGCAGTTGGAGGTATGGCAGGGATTAAAAGACCAGCTGAAGAGTCTAATGAAGCGCCATCTGAGAAGAAGAACCAACCTGTCACAGCTAAAGTTTTTCCCTCCCCTAAACCAGCCACAGAGAACAAGACGCCTAAACCAGCAAACGAAAACAAGGTACACTATGTAACTCATCTGACACCTGTCAGCTCACAGAGGAACTTTGGTAGTTCTGTATTTCTGGTGGAGTGTGTGTAATGCAAACTCATGGGTACATAACAAACCTTGTCTTAGGTTACATACTTCTGATAAGATAACTTATGTTAAATATTGTTTTAAACAAATCTTATATTGAGGTATTGTTTGCAAAGTGCTTAATGACTAATTGATCTTTTGTTTTTTGTTTTTTATCATTTCCAGAGAGAAGTTTTGGTGGAACGTGCCAATAAAACAACTCTGAGCAGCAGTTGTAATGTGTGCAACCAACATGTTCACCTTGTGCAGCGCCACCTAGTAGATGGGAAACTGTACCACAGGAACTGCTTTAAGT